AGACAACCCACGGAATGGGTCAAGGTTGTAGAGGACGTATGGAAGGGGCTCGACATCGACGAAGATGAAACGCTGGAAACGGAGGGTCTACAGGGGTTCAAGGAGAAGACATCTGTGGCTTGTGCCGAGAGAGAACAGAATCTAAGGAAAGATTCCAAGGATGAGGAGGGTCTAGAAGTGTACGGCATGTTGAAGGGAGGAGTGGGGTTCAAGATTACCTACATGGACCAATGGATGCAGGAACAAAGCTCAAGGTCAAATTCAGGACCGGGGACATAGGCCTTTGAGAACGTGGACGAAGACATAGGACGGTAGACGACGAAGACGATGAGCTCAAATGTGATTGCGGCTTCGAACGNGAGGGAAGTGTACGTAACTGAGCTGGGAAAAATAGATGGGACGTACAGGAAGATGTTTGAGGTATGGAATAGAAAGGAAAGGACGGTAGCTGTAGTGGAGCATAGGAGGTGGGTTGAAAAGGCGGGAAGGGTCTCGTTAGGGCAGACAGACTAGGGAAGATATATTTGAGCCACCTTTGGCAAAGTAGAAAGGAACGATTGGCCATCGGTGATCGGTCCTGTGGGAACAATGCTCCGTCCTCTTGAGGACGCGTGGTCAATGGTCTAACCGCTACGGCATGCAAAACATAAGAGTACGCCCCCCCACCCCCCCCAGCCCCAACGTTGAACCCCCAGTGTCCTCAATCATTCTCCGCCGCTGACCTGTTCGCATGCTCCGACTCCTTCTCGTCCATGGCCTTGTCCAGCACCGTGGGCTTCCGCTCGTCCAGCAGCTCCTGCTTGTCGCTCTCCTCCCGCCCCTGTGCCCACTCCTCGTCGGCGATCTTGCGGCACTTCGCGAGGGATTTCTCCACGTGGTTGGTCTTGAGGGTGACCTTCTCGACGCAGGGCGCGTGGCGCTCCTTCAGGACCCGCTCTGCCAGCGCTACGGCCTCGTCTACACCCACGCCGCCGTCGCCGCCGTCACCGCCGTCACCGCCGCCGCCGCTGGCACCAGCACCAACGTCGTTCCCTGCACCCGCATCCTTGCCGCCAGTATCACCACCACTGCCACCGTCATTCCCTGCTCTGCGAACGGCTTCGTGGGCTTCCATTATCCACCTCCTGGTAGCCGCCTCCGCCTGCCCCGCCCAGCCCTGGGCGATGGCGGTCTCTTTCGCCTTATCGTCGCCAACCGCCAGCTTCACCACCAGGTACGCGTCCAGGGCCGTAGTGTTGGCTTTCGACGAGAGCATATCGACGTCCGCCAGGTGGGGCGGCATGGGCAGGTCCCGCACCTCCGCGTCGAGGTCGTCCATCCGGTCTTCGAACGCCTCCTGCGCCTGTTTTATGTACATAATGTGTGGTATGTATTCGTGTTTTTATTGGTCACTTTTGGGTATTACAGCAGTCTTTTCCGTTTGTTGTGCAGAAGAGCATAGGCAGCAGCAACAGTAACATTCACCACACGGACGACAACCAAGAATCGTACAGGAACAGGTTGGTCGTCACCATAGCACGCTATGAACTAACCGTTAATCTATCCCGAAATCCTATCTGTGGAAGGGATAGATAAGTTGCTGTGTTGTGAGGGCCATAAGAAAGCGACGACGACAACGACAACGCGAGAGAAGAATCGCCATCATAAAACGCTACCGCATGAACTCATTGTAAAATGTATCTCGGACTCCTATCTGTGAAAGAAAGGGATGAATAGTCTAGTCCGTTGAGTAGAACGAAGACGACAACGACACATAAGCTAGTCTTGCACTCGCCTGTTGCGTGGCTGTGGCGAGGCTTTGCTCCAAAAAACTATCCACAACGCGCCAGAGGGCTTCGATGTGTACTGCCGTCAGTTCTCCGGTGCGGGGCGTAGCCGAATCATCACCCATGACGACCAACAACGCTTCCATATCTGGGTGTGAACTGATGATGTCCGGTACAATATCTCCATTCCACCTAGTAGCGCGGGGGCGAAATTAACGAAAACCAAACTGTCAGAACAGTCACAGAATTCGAGGATAACAAAACGAATACGGGAGGTAAAATTTTGAGCAAGCACCCCACAAAACGTTTTTAGGACAAACAACGAACGCGTGTAACGCAGATTGAATTCTTGTCGGTGTGCCCCCCCCCGGTCGGACTAGTTTGGTTCGACAGAGGTACAGGTACGGCCGTAGGCTATTTGCATAGGTGTCTGAAAACTGCGAGCGTTGCTCGCTGAATAAATGGGACACAAAACAAGAAGCAGGAAGAGACGGGGGAAGGAAAGAAGAGAGGCAACGAGCGAGGACTACTACAACTGTATCGCCCAAGCCGTCCGCGCTAGTATAGCCATGCACGAAGAATAACATGTTATTCTCCGTCACACGCGAACCTTTGCCTCCGTCTCTCGAACACAGCTTTCACGTGCGAGTACTCCGGCGGCGGTGGCGGAAGCTCCGGATCTCCATCCCCTTCTTCTCCTGGCCCCGAACGCTGCTGCTCCTGCTTTTCCCTGCGGAGCGCCCCCAAGTCCTGTGACGCCAGGGGGGAGCACACGAGGGGGGGAGGGAGGGACGGAGCATCACACACATGACTCGTGTCGGGTATTGTGGCATTAACCGGCGCTCGCGAGGAGCACAAGCCAGGCTCACCCGTACCCTGTCTTGCCAGGGGGGTTTCCTGTGTTACAGCAGCAGCGGGGTCACCACTATCCTAACCTACGGAGACCATGGTTAATACTTCCTCCTGCTGAGGCTCGAGACACCTGCCCCCTGTGTTATGTTCATCCCACAGCCAAGTGTATGTACCCAGACCCAAATATCGGGCGGGGGTGGGGGTTGGAGG